CAGTCCAGCAGAGCTGTGACTTCCTTCCAGTGGTGGGACTCTCCCATTGAAAGGCGAAAATCTTCTGGCTCTCCTCTTCCAGGGGAGTGCAGAAGGCGGCACCCTTTAAATCTAACACTGTAAAATACACATTGTCTGGGTATTGCAGACAACAAGGTATAGGGATTTGGTACAACTGGATGTACCTCAACTGTGGTTTTATTAATTTCTCTTAAGTCTTGTACCAATCGATACTCGCGTTTGAGGTTTCTCGACTGGTAAGACAGGAGTATTGTACTCTGATTGGCACTCCCGCAACAGTCCATACTGCATAAAAGTATAAATCAATGGTTCTAAGCCCACTCTAACCTCTAATGTCATAGGGTATTGTCTTTTTGTTACCGGTTGAGCTCCCGATTTTAATTCGACCTTTACCGGAACAGCGTTCTTGGCTCATCCAGGTTTCTTAGAAGCCCATACCAGGGGTATTATAGCATTCAAAATTTCCTCTGAGATTCTGGTCCCTTCTTGTTGCTTTTCAGTCAATAGACACAGTTGAGCTCTCCACGCTGTCTCCTCAGGCACATGTAACTGAATGGACTTATCAGAGAATGTTGATTGCACTTTCAATTTACACAATAGATCACGTCCCAGCAATGGGATGGGGCATTCTGGCATATATAGAAATTTGTAAGTCAATGTAGTGTTTCCAGTTGCGCATTCCATAGGTTTTAAAAATGGCCTAAGAGCTCGCTTTCCCGTGACCCCAACAATTGTCATATACATTCTACTTAAAGCCCTTTACAACTAGTTACTACCGAATGGGTTGCCCCGCTATCTAGTAAGAAATTTATAACCTCGTTCCCCAGCTTTACAGGAACCAGGGGATCGGCTGGGGAAATCTTGATATTCTCCCCCGATCCCTTCATCCAGTATCAGATGTCCCTCACGTGATCCGATTAGCATCTGATTCTCGCCCCCTTTCTCCTGAGCATTCAGCAAATGATCTTCCTTTCTGTGGGCATTCAGATTTCCCGTGTCCTTCCTTTCTATAGTAAGCACACTGATTAGGACCCAAAGGAGTACGGTTCGAGTAATTAACTCCCCACCCCACTCCGCTCCATCCACCTTTTCCCCTACCTCTATTATTACAAACCTTGTATGCCATTTCTATCAGCTGTGATACAGACATTCCTCCAGCTCCATCTGCCCGTTGCAGCCTCTTTCTAATGTCAGGGGCTGATTGTCTGCGCGTCCTCAGCCTCCCCACTGTCCTCAGTACATTTCTTTTCACCTTCTTTGCAACAACCCTTTTTCTTTCCTTTCCCATTAACACTTTCAGCTAACACATACATCCCATCAGCATCTTCCATCAACAGTCTACATTTTTTATCAGTTTCATGATCACGCCTCAGAACAAAAAACAAATCGACGTACGCAACTTCACCCCATTTAGCCATCCTTCTACAAAACAGCATTAACTGCAAAATAGTGTTATAATTCAGTGATCCATTCTCTGGCCATTTTTCTCCATCATCCAGTTCGTACATCGGCCACCATTGGGCAAAATAAGCTTTTAGTTTATCTTTCTTTAGGGAATCCCCTCCAAACCTTCTCCAATTTTTCAGGATGCATCCTAAGGGAGTACACAGGGGTACTTTGGTAGAGGCAGCCGCACCCTATTACCAGATTCCAACCCCCTGTCAGAATAGGATTCCTCTGAGCTCTCACTGTGGGCCTCTCGTGGCGCATCTTATGTAGAGCAGATTTAAGCCACTCGGCTTATCGGATTCCGACCCTCTGTCAGAATAGGAATCCTTTTTAAGCTCCTGCTGTGGGCCTTTCTTGATGCGTCTTATGCAGAGCGATTCCACAAAAGCAGCTGCTTACCTCTGTAGTCCCTTGCCTCTTTTTAAATATCTCGTATTGGTGTTGTGCTGTTGAGTTGCCTGTCATCCGTCTGCAGAGAGGAACCAGTGGATTCCCCAATCAAAAGGTCGGTGCGTGCTGGCGTCCTTCCTGGTCCCATCTCTCGTCTGGAGCAGCAGAAGAATCCAGGCAAGGCTTAAAATAGCAGTCCCATCTTGGTCGCCAGAAACTTGTCCCACAAGCGGGGTCCGGTACCCGGTGTGCAATAAGCCAATCTTACACACAGTTTATTTCCCTCATGTTTGCGCAAAGATGGGTGCTAGGTGGTAATTCCACAAAGCTAGCACCCCACACACAAGAACTACAGCCTATTTATATTGTTACGTGATTAGCAAAAACCCGCCTAAGTTCACGCTCATTGGTTAGTTGTCTTCAAATCAGCCTCGCTTGCCATGTAGATTAGCACACATGCTCCTTGCAGGTGGCGGGGGGCAAGTCTTCCCAGTCTTGAATTGAGTCGGTGGTCGCGATCTCCCCCTGCCGCCTTTACCTTTCCCCTAGTTACCGCAGTTTTTTGCTGACTTCTTGTTTCTCTGGCAAGCATCCAGCCTCCAGCGCCTTCTAGGGCAGGATGTTCCCCTTTTATCAGTCTTTCAGCTCTTCTTCAAGGGCATAGTGGTTGTAAGGCGTGCATTGTTTACACAAGGTAATCAGGCTAGAACAATGAAGACTACGGTCTAGGTATTAACCAAACATATGGCTGCATATGGATGCTTTCAAGGTGAAGGAGTTTGGGTGCACTGAATTGCTGCTGGAGTTGTCTTGCAGCCAGGATTCCAAAGAGGACAGATGGATGCCAACTGTGATAACAGATTGCTCTAGAGACCTTACATTTTTCATGTCAGAAATAATTTTTATTTCTTTTACAACCAAAAATAGCACCTACGGTGATTAAAAACCCACTCCAATCCCCCTATCCCCACCAAAACCCCACCCATAACAAAGATAATTGACTAATCCAGCTTGTGAAACTTCACAATGAGACATTTCAATGGAAGGGTAAATTTTTATATGTGGTACATGATAGAAATAATATCAACCCTACCGTTCTAGAGGAATTAGCCAAGAAGGAGAGTTATGGTGAAGAAAGTTGTACGTCAGCCCTAATTCAGTGAGACATTTTGCAACGTTGCCCTTAAAATGCATAAGAAGTCCCATTTAAGTCGTAAGAACTACACACAACCTTACGACGGGCTGCATTCTGCTGTATCTCCCCAAACTGGGGACTGCAAGCACAAACTGTGAACTTAGAAACGGCATCTGAAAATCCCTAAACCTCTGTCTCTACAAGACAGGCAAATCAAGCTTTTAACACTAATGTGTGAGCACATTAATGTTCATATATTCTTCAACCGACATTTATCTGGCATGTTGGAAAGCCTAGTACTTATCACTAAAACTATACAAGGGGCATGAACGTCAAGTGGATTTGAACAATGCTATAGCATCATGTCCTGTCAAAACCAGTCACCTCTTGAATTTACCAAACAGCTGCGACAAACGGCTTGTAAGCCACGCACAGACAATTTCATTCAAAATAACTGCGCTAACAAACACATTCAAGATAGAACACTTTTCTTGGAGGTCAGTTCACAAACAAGAGGCACTATCTGCAGGACAAAGTAGCAACTAGAGTTTGTCCAGTTCAGCTGGCCTCTGGCTCTCCCCTTTTGCCATTCTTTGGTTCCCAACGGCTAATCCCTGACGGGATCTCGGTTTGTTCTGTCATCCTGGCCACCTTTCCTTTTGATATGCTTTCTTCAGAGTGGTCACGCTTTACTTTTATTTCCATTGGGTCATCTGTATCATCTACGGCAAGAAGGAAAGAAGAATTAAAGTTTGCAAGTCCTTCTCCGACTTCAGTGCAACAGCCCACAATGACAGTAGCAGGTGAAGTTACAAAGCATGCCAGAAAATGCTTCTATTTACAGGCAACAAGAACAACGTTGGGAGTAGGGGACTCTGGTTCTCAGATTTTGGCTTTCCATATCTCCGAAGAACAATCGCAACAACGTTTACTGTGGCGGTGTCCTGCCCCCACCCCGCGTAAGCAATGACCACCAGTGGGGGTCCTGACGGCTGCATCCAGCTTATGGGGACTTTGGGGACGGATGGCAACACGGTAGCCAAGGGCTGTCTGGCGTAGCGACCCAGGCATCTCGCTGGTATGCAAATATGACTGTAAGTCAATCATTGTACTCCATAAACAGTGGACAGCCCAGGGCCCGTTGCACTCTCCTGCACGGCAGCGGGCTGCCCAACAGGATCTCCCCTTGAGTAGGGACGCCTCCCAAGGTTACTCCTCGAGGCTGAGAGATTCCTTGCCGCAGCAGATCCTCGGTAAGTGGCTAACAGCATGCTAAACTTTGAAATCTTAGCCAAGTGATAGAAAGATTAATTGCGCATCTATAATCCTTTAGACATAAACCGTTGACCAAGTCTGGGACTAGGATTGGATCCAGCCACACCTAGACTCCTCTCTGAGAAGGTGTTTAGATTCTTTATTGCGGCGCCGGGCGCACAGGGGATCGCTCCGCCTAATGTGCGCGCCGGGCTGCTCAACCGTGGGAGTTATGTACAACCAGAATATACATATTCATTAGATTTCTGAGAAATGATTAGCATATTCATGTTATTTCTTGGAACTCATTAACATATACAAAAGTCTTTAACGCATGCGCTCTT